CTGTTGACTACTATAGTTTTCTTTTCAACCTGGAAATTTGTATCTTTTTTTAGTTTATTAGAGTATTACTTACTGCCCTCCCCCTAAACTTTGATTTCCTGTGGATTTCAGTATTCAGTGTACTATATTTCTATGAGCAAAAACTTGTCTAATTCCCTTTAAAGGCCACATTAAAATCATTGTCAGCTTATGTGTGATCATAAGTACTTTTATTTATTCCAGTTTCTTCACAAAATTGCACTGCACATCCCAGCTAATCTGGTACTTGCTTCTGGGACTGAGTATACTGGGGGTGGGTGCTTCCTTAGCCCCCACCTCAGAGCTCATTCCCACTTCAGCGCTGGCTGGAAATAGTGTTTATGGGATGAATGAGTGACTCAGTGAATGAGTGAGTGAAGAAGAGGGCTGCCCTGCCCTTCACCCTGTGCTTGTCTCCCAGGCGGGGAAGCTGGCAGTGGAGCGAGGCTGGGCCATCAATGTGGGTGAGTGCCCCGCCTGGGGGAGCTGGCCTGTCCAAGGCCTGGGGGCAGGGAGGACCAGAAGGAACCTGGAGGAAGTGGCTATGAGTTCGGAGACTCTGGTGTGTAGGAGGGATGAACCAGTACCTCCATCTGGCATGGAATCCTTGTCTAAAAGAGTTCTCCAGATTGCTCCTCAGTCCTGTCTTTGCATACTTCCAGTGGTGGGGAGCTCACTCTCTCCCAGGAAGCCTGTGCCATCCCCTGGACAGCTCTGCATGAAGCTGAAACCAAAAGACTCCATTAACCTCTTGGGACCCAGGGCAGCCTTCAGGGGCTTGGCCATGTCATGGTGGGTGGGCTGCCCAAGATCAACATCACTTTATTCTCAGGGACCTTGAGGGCTAGCATTCCCCCAGCCCCTTGGACTCGCCCACAAGATTGGCTCATGGGAGGTCTGCACCCATGACCTTCCTCGTCCCTGCTGTGTTCCTCATGAAGGCTCAGCACTTCAGTTTGTGAAGCCTTGTTCTGTCCCGGCTCTCATCTGAGCTGGGTGTTATTATTCAGTTCAGTCCAATTATATTGATGAGAACATGGACGTCGAGAGAGGCCTAGTGGTTTTCTCAGAGCCCCATAGCTGCCTTCCCTCACCCCCATCTTGGACTGTGAACACTGCAAGGCCTTCTTGGTATGGCCAGATACCCATCATTAGGTCTGGCTTAACCATGATATTATGATACTCTGCTGAATAAACAAGTGAGTGATATGTGCCATGTGTTTCTACAGGGGTCCCAAGAGGACTCAGAGGCCCTTGGTTTGAATCTTGGTTCTGCCATTAGCTAGCTGAGTGACCCAGGGCAAGTTGCTAACCCCGCATCACTCTCTGTGCCTCAGGGTCTTAATCTGTAAAATGGAGATGGTCCTGTGGGGAGGCTTCAGTGAGCTCCGTGCTGGTTAGGAGTTCACTGTTGGCTGTTATCTCGTCATTAGGATCCAATGACAGCCTCTTGGGTGGTGCAAAGAGGCAGTTCCCTGTATCCGGGCCCTGGCCTCACACTGCCAGGTGAGGCAGTTACTGGGCTCAACTTCAGGAGCCCTGCAGCTCAGTTCTTTTAGGGGTTGCAGGGGGATGGGCTCTGGCCTCTGTGGCTATGGTCACAGGGTTGATTGGTAGAGGAGGCCGGACCCTGGTCTCTAGGACCCTCACCATTGCAATGGGTAGCCATGACCAGCAGAGGGTACCCTGCCTGATCACCCTTTTCTACCACCCGGGCAGAATCTGGGGGTTCCCAAGGTAAACCTGCCCCATAGCTCCACCACCCTTTTCTGGCAGGAGGACTCACATGTGGGCAGGCCCAGCTCTATGGAGACTTACTGTCTTGGGAAGGATGAGCTCTGTCCCTAAGAGGTGTGAGTGGACACTGGAGTCTGACTTGTTGGGATACCCTAAGAGGTTTCTTTCTCTGACAGGGGTGGCTGTAATGGCAAAGCTACCTCCTGACTTGGGGATAGTGACGTATCTAGGCACGCAGCTCACTTTGTCAACCTGGAGGCCCAGGAACCTTCCTGGGAGCTGAGCAGGGAGGGCACGTGGGAGGGTAGGGGGGTATGCCTAGGTCTAGCTCTTAAGCCTGGCCCTGACTTCATCATGTCTGCCTTCCATAGGTGGTGGCTTCCATCACTGTTCCAGCGACCGGGGAGGGGGCTTCTGCGCCTACGCAGACATCACGCTTGCCATCAAGGTGTGCAGGAGAGCATGTGGGAATCACCTCCAAGAGCCCTCCCTGGGACCCCCTGCCACTCCCAAGTTTGTGTTCTCACCCCACATTATACAGGAGGGAAGTGAGGCTCAGAGGGGAGGAAGGTCCCCGCATCACTCAGCCAGGCTCAGGCTCAAACCCAGATCTGACTCTCCTCTGTGTTGCCTGTGACAAAAGGGAGATATTACAGCCTTCAGCAATGGCAGGGGCTGGGGAGAAGCATGTATATTAACAATATAAGAAGGGCATCCCTACAGAAGAGTGAGGGGAGGTAGAAATAATAATGATCACAATAATACTGATGACATTTACTACAGGCTCAAGCCTATGCCAACCTTTGTTCTCCATGGCTTACCTCAGTGAATCCTCATGTTACAGATGAGGAAACTAAGGCCAAGAGGTGATGTCACACAGCCAGAGGGGCAGAGCTGGCATTGGTCTCCATGTTTGTGGAACCCCCGGGCTCCCCCTGACCATGCTGCACTTGGTCTCAGTCTGGGCTTCCGGAACAGGTCATTGAGGTTCCTGTTCTCACAGGGCACACAGACTAATGGTGGGGGTGAGACAGGTCAGCAGACCCTGGGCATTCGGGAGGCAGACACACAGGAGAGCTTGGAGGGTGGAGAAAGGGGAGGAGGGCTTCCCACAGGAGGAATGTGGACCTGACCTGTAGGAAGATAAAGATTGTAGAATAAAGTTCCTGGCCCAGTTTTGAAGGGAGGCTTCTCCTCCCCCAACCCCCACATTTCCCCGGGATTCCTGGGGTGTCACTGAGGGCCAGCCTCACTCACCTGCTCACCTCCTGACTTCTGCCCTTCAGGGCGCGGCACAGGACCCTCCTCCAGGAGGGCTTCCCTGTCCATGCACACATGCTTCTCTGGAGCTGCGTAGCTCTCATGGGTGTGTGATGTCTTTGCCTAGTCCTCCTGCCCTGGCCCCTCACCACCTGGGAGTTCCTGAGGGGCTGTGTCTTCTGGCCTGTGTGGGTCCTCACCTCTCCCCTCTCCTCCCCTGGGCAGTTTCTGTTTGAGCGAGTGGAGGGCATCTCCAGGGCCACCATTGTTGATCTTGATGCCCATCAGGTGAGTGCCCCGTGGGGGCTGGGGTCTTCTGGGCCCCCTCCTCAGCACCCCTCCATGTCTCCATGTGTTCCCCATCAGCTTCCATCATACAACCTACACTGTGGGACTCCTCCCCCTGGAAACATCCCTGAGCCCCAAGGCAGATCTCCGCCACCTTCATCCTGCTCTGCCTCTCTCCCATTGCCTACCCTCTCTGTGCTGGAGAGACTGGAAGCAGAGGGTCCTTCTTTCTCCCTCTGCCCCTCTCGCCCCAGCCAATGCTCCTGTGAAATTGAGGGTCCTTCTTCCCTTCTCCTGACTGCCTCCCCAAACCAGGCTGGTGGCTCTTCCTAAAATCCCTACAGGTAGTGCTATTCTTGTGCTTTAAACCCCTCAGTGGCTCCCTAGTCTGTGCACAGAGCCCAGGAGCCTGTATTCCTGCACCCCAGGAAAGTGCTCATTCATGCGCTGCAGGTTTGCTCAGCCACTGCTACCCAGGTCTGGCTCCTGTTGTCCCAGGTGGGGCAGGGCATGCATTGGGTTCTTGAAGGCCCTCCTGCACCTCTGCTGCTGTGGCTTTGTGATGGTGGGACTTCTCCAAGGTCACATGACACTGAGCTCCTGAACCACATGCGTACAGCCCTTACAGTTTATGTTTCACATTCCTGATCCCAGCCAATTCTACCACAGACTTGAGAGGGTGTGGGGCCAGGATTCCTGCCTTGTGTCCTGGAGAAGACTTGAGAGGGCTGGGCTTGCTTAAGATCATGCTGGAAGGTCATGGGGCCAGGTTTTGAGGTTGAATCCTAGCTTTGTCACTTTATAGCCACGAGACCCTCTGCCAAAGGGCAAACCACACTGTTCAGACACAGGGCAGTGGGGGTTGGAGGGAGGGTCCTGTCTTTGCTGAGGGCACTTGCCTGCAAGTGGCTCCCATGTTCTCCCTGCAGGGCAATGGGCACGAACGGGACTTCATGGGTGACCAGCGTGTGTACATCATGGATGTCTACAACCGCCACATCTACCCTGGAGACCGCTTTGCCAAGCGTAAGCTGCCTGCTACCCTCAGTCCTGAGTTCACTCATGCTTGGATGGGGCTTTCTCCTGAGTATTTCCTATGTGCTGGGTCTTGCAAGGTGGGAATTGTTCCCATTGTACAGATGAGGAAATTGAGACCTAAAGAAGTCACATGACCCACTCAAGATTGCATTAGCCTGTTTAATAAACATATGGGTGGGTCCTTATATTAAGGGTAACCATCAGAAGAATAAAAATAGACTCCTAGGATGCATCTGTCTATAGAACACAGGGAATGAGCAAAAGGAAATGAGGGAAAATAAGATAAATAGGGTACTCCAAATAAGATGGAAGAAATTAGTTCAAATATAATAGTTGGTAAAATAAAAAGAAATGCAGGCAGGTTCAACTTAACTAAAGGCAGAGATGCTCAGATGAGCTATGAAAACTTGAGCGCCTGCCCACTTTGTGGGTTGGGGACCTTTATGCTGGAAGGGCTAGTGAGTCTCCTGTGGGCACTCAGCTGCTGGTATACCCCAAGGGACCAGTTTCAGAAATGAATCTTGAATGTGCCGGGTTTGGACATGAGGGCACAGCTTGGTATCCCTGTGTCTGGGCAAGGTGTTTTATCCGCAGTTCCCCTTCTCTCTTTTGGGTTCCCGCTTTGCAGCTCTTGGTACTCTTTTTAGCTGAGTTTCCCCCACCCCTCAAATTGCACTAAGGTAAAGAAAGCCCTATCTAATGTGGATGTGTTGTTTAGGGTTAGCAGTACTGTCCTCACTAGACATTCATTGGACAGTACCACAATGACAGGAAAAGGATGGGTTTGTTTGTGTGTGTGTTTTTAGCTTAGTTTTGAGTGAAATAAGAGGCTGAGCAGTGCTGGAGTCAGATTATTTTCTAGTCCTTCCTTGGGCACTGGCAGGGATCCAAGCAATCTTTGTCCTCTTGAGCTCAGTTTCCTGTCTCTGCACACGGGGAAATTCCTGTGTCCCGCTTAGAGGCCATCAGGCGGAAGGTAGAGCTGGAATGGGGCACCGAGGATGACGAGTACCTGGATAAAGTGGAGAGGAACCTCAAGAGAGCCCTTCAGGAGCATCCTCCCGACGTCATGGTGTACAACGCAGGCACCGATATCCTCGAGGGTGACCGCCTTGGAGGACTATCCATTAGCCCACAGGTATGTCCTGAACTTGGGGGTGGGAGGGCAGGGGATGGTTTGCTCTGAGGACTCAGCTGCAGCAGGACAGGTGGACCACATTGGTGCTTCTCCTGATATCAGAGCGGATGGGTGGAAACAGCTGCAGTCCAAGCAGGGCTAGACCTGCAGCAGAACCTCTTGATACCATGAGGGTCGGGGCCTGCCTGAGCTCACCTTCCCAATCTCCCAACAGGGCATCGTGAAGCGGGATGAGCTGGTGTTCCGGGTGGCCCGCAGATGTCAGGTGCCCATCCTCATGGTGACCTCAGGCGGGTACCAGAAGCGCACAGCCCGCATCATTGCTGACTCCATCCTTAATTTGTATGACCTGGGGCTCATTGGTCCTGAGTCAGCCAGCATCTCAGCACAGAACTCAGACACACCTCTGCTACTCTAGGAGTTTCCCTGACTGCACTGCCCTTCGAAGCAGTTCTCTGCCTGCCTCACCCATCCCACCCCTCAGTGCTTCTCCTTTTCTAACCACATGGGATGGCAGGGCAGCTGCTAGGGGCCCTGAAGGGCCTGGGGCTTGTCCCCACCCAGGCCTGCCTTCAGGTCTGGCAGACAGCTCCTCCACTCTCCCCACTGGATGTTCAGGCCCTGTGGAAGTAGGCAGTTCACCCAAGGAGAGAGGAGGGCAGGTGAGGCTCTGGGGGCTGCAGGGAAGGCCCCCAGGGGTCAGGATGCTCCCTCCCGTTTTAAAAAATGTCAGACCCATGTCAGACCAAGGAAGCTTCCATCTCTGCAATGGCTGGGCCTCCCTCCTCTTAAGTCATCAGATTTGCTTCCTTTCTTGTCTCAAGCATATCCTGAGGATCTGGGGACAGCCATGTGGGTGGGACTGGAACCCGGCTCTTGGAGCCCGGCCTGGGGTGGGGACTGCACTCCTGGCCTGCAGGGCGGAACCCTGGTCCTATATGTGAGCAGTGGCAGGGAAAGGGGAGGTTTCCCTCTGGCATTCCTTTAGTAATGCAAGGGCTGGACATATTCTCAGAGCCCCTCGCTGACATGTGGATGGGAGGCCTGAGGGGCCCCGTCCCTGCTTCCATAGGGGCCCACCTGTGCAGGGGGGAGCAGTTTGGGGAAGAGCACTTGGCTCGGGACCTCGGCGCTGGAAGCATAACAGGGCTGCTGACCCCAGCGGGGAGGGCAGAGGAAGATGAGGACTGGACGGGGAAATCTCGGATGGGGCAGGTGACCAAGCCAGGTGCTGCAGGAACCAAGGCCCCAGGTAGGGACTGAAGAACTGAGGAGGCCAGGCCGGGGTTTCTGGAGGGAGAGCAGAGGGTCTCCATCTGGCCTATAAGTTGTAAGGGAAGGGGGCTGGGTCAGGGCCCTGGGTGGGGCTGCAGAATCCACTGGCCTCACCCAAATTCCTGGGGGTCTGATCTCACTGTCCAGGATCCCGAGTGGGCCCTAACCTTGTCCTCAGCTCTACTCTGAAGGGGACTCTTGGGTTCCTCAGGAAGCTGGCTTGGGGGAGAGCCCATTCCATTGCCTGGGTGTGTTCTTAGTGGACAAAGGTGGGGCTAGAGACGTATCTGGGTCCCAGGTCCTATGGGTTTTGTGGCCATTATCCTCTGGGGCTGCTCCTGTAATCTCACACTTCCTCCCTCACACTTCCTCTGCTTCAGCGTGGGTGGGGGTGGAATAAAGTTCCAAGATCACAAACTGTCAAAAATGCTGACCTTCTGGGCAAGACCTGAGGCATTAACCATCACGTGGACCACACTCCACTCCACCCTCCCACCCCCTGCCTTTGTCCTTGGTATCTCTGTATCTGATCCCTAACATCCCTACATCTCCAGTGACAGCCTGTGACATCTGGGGAAAGGCTGTGGTGCAGCACCTCACTGTGAGCTTCTGTTTGTAAAGAACCATAAAGGCTTTTCTTGACTGGGCCTAGTCACTGTGTGCTCTTGAGATGAAGAATCCCTCCCTCCTATGAATTAAAGGAAATAAACATTTAAAATGCACATAACACAAGGCCTGACATCAGCAGCTGCCCAAGAAGTGAAAGTATTTTATTCTACCCTCCAAGTCTTATGAAGTAGTCATTATTCCCATTTTACAGATGATACAGTGAACAACGTGATCCAAACCCCATACACATCTAGTGAGGCATAAGCCAGGTTGAACCTAGCTCTAGTGGACTCCAAAGTAAGCATCTCAGCTGCCTCAAATTTAGCAGGGGTGAAGGAGATGGGGGGAGGTAATTGCTCTCCAAACAGGAGGGTCTGGGAAAGTATGGGATGGGAAGGCAGGAAGGGTTGGACTCTGATGGTGGCTCTGCACAGTGTAGAGGCAGTGGGTGCTCCTGCAGGGCAGCACATTGTGTGTATGTGTATGTGTAAGCAGGTGCTCCAGCAGGGGAGCGTGTGTGTGTGTTTGTGTGTGTATGTGTGTTGCTGCAACCAGCACAGCTAGGGTTTGGGATCTGAAGGAGGGGTCAACGCACAAATGAAAATACTATACAAGAAATATGAATTTAGAAGGCATGGGGGGGGGGGCAGGTGGAGACCTCTCTCTTGGAGAGGCACCCTGAAACCTCGCCTTAGCCGCTTTTTATTCAGTTTTAGATACACATCTTGCCCTCACTAAAGCATGGCAAACAGGTAGCAGACAGAACGTCTCTAAGATCAATAAAGATCAGTAAGGTCCAATAAACATATGCTTTTAGGCTATTAGGTCAGGAAATTGCTTCGAGTCACTACTATCTCAACACGAACAATGGTGCTTAGCATTAGCCTTGCCAATACTCAAGGTCCATTGGCCTTTTGCATTCCTTGATGCACTCTCATGATAGTATTGACAGTGAATGGCGTCCCGCATCTCCCCCTTTTTGTTTTCTTAATCTTGAAAATGTATGTTGTCTGTAGGGCTTGAGTCCTTTTAAGACTTTTCATTCTGCATCTGCAGACTAGAAATAAACATATAAGAACAAGAATGAGACAGACAATAGTGGTTATGCTAACAGGCAAATGTAAGGAGATTCAATGAAAAGGATTGAGTTCTTTCATGTCCTTTTTAAAATGCTGCCAGGCATCTAAGGAACTAGTTTGTAGTAAGCTCCTTTCTGGGCCATCAGTTCTTTATGGGTCCCCTTCTCAATCACTGTCCCCTGTGACATGACAGCAATGATATTTGAGTTCTGGATGGTGGACAAACGGTGGGCAGTGACAATGCAGATGCGACCTCCTCTGGATTTGTCCAGGGCAACCTGCACCATTGCACAACTGATGACTGCTAGCATGACAGGGCTTTTTCACCATCCTCCAAGTTATCTCTGGACTGTTTGTCATCTGTCTCATTCTCTTCCCATTCCTTATCTTCAGCGTGTTGCTTGGGGCTATTGCTTTTTGGGGCTGGAGTAGTTGTCTGTCTACAGCCGCAGATACAGGGTGAGGCTCCAGGTGCAAGGTCCTCATTAGTCTGGTCAGTTCCTCTCTCAGATCCATGTTGAAGTTTAATATTCCTTTCAGGAATCCACACAGGCTTGGAGGAGTTTTCTGGAAATACACAAGCATATCCTCGACCAAATGTTAACAAGGGGTTGGGACCCTTCCATGAACCAGACTCGGGATCTTTCCATTTAACCACACCATTTTCCTTTGGCTTATTCTGACACCAGTGTAATCCATAGGTGTCGTGCCATCAGTGTTACAAGTGAAAATATTTAAAGTAATTAAGGCTTGCTGTAGTCTACTTACAGGAGATTTCTGCACTACTCCCCCTTTTTGTTTTTCAAGTTGGGATTTTAACCACTGATTTTTGCATTCTATAATTGCTTGTCCTTGGGAATTGTATGGTATTCCCATAATGTACTGAATTTTCCACTTTTTATAAAATTGCTGGAAAAGATAGCTTGTGTATGTGGGTCCATTATCAGTTTTAGTAATTTTTGGCATTCCCATGACAGCAAAAGCAGCAATGATTAAGGACCTGTTTTGCCATTTCCCCTGTAGATGCAGTGGCCCACAGGATCTTTGAAATAGTGTCTACAGAGACATGCAATGCCCCAAGGTGTCCAAAAGGAGTATAGTGTGTTACATCCATTTGCCAGATATGGTCCCTTATCAATCCTCAAGGGTTAATTCCTGTATTAGGCCCTTGAGGCAGATGTAACATGCAAGTGGGACATTCCTTGATAATCTGTTTTGCCTGCTGTCAAGTGATTGAGAATTGTTTAGACAGGCTGATGTAAAAGCTGATGAGATTCTGTGGCCTGTTTTAAAGCAACCAATTGATTAGCATATGCATTTCTTTTTGTTAAAGGAACAGGCAGGGTGGTATGAGCCCTGATGTGAGTAATATAAAAGGGATATTGTCTTTGCTGTATAATTTGCTGTACCTGTTTAAATAGTATAAATAGACTTTGGTCACTGAACTATTTTTTTTTTTAAATATATATTTTATTGATTTTTTACAGAGAGGAAGGGAGAGAGATAGTTAGAAACATCGACGAGAGAGAAACATCGATCAGCCGCCTCCTGCACATCTCCTACTGGGGATGTGCTCGCAACCTAGGCACATGCCCCCTGACCGGAATCAAACCTGGGACCCTTCAGTCCGCAGGCCGATGCTCTATCCACTGAGCCAAACCGGTTTTGGCGGTCACTG